TAAAGCCCCTCCCTCTCCGATTAACCTTTAGATAAAACCGGAGGGATCGGAGAGAAAAAAAGAACCAAAAAAAAAAAAAAAAAAACAAAAAACAAAAAAAAAATCTTAAAAAATGATTGGAAAAGTTGTTGTCTCGGTGGCCTCCATCCTCTTAATAGTCGGAGTAGCCATAGGAGTCGTTGCCTTCATAAACAAAAATGGTGATGCTAATCTGTCTCCGCAAATGAAAGCGGTTCAAGGAATTTGCCAGTCGACTTCCGACAAAGCCTCATGTGTCAAAACTCTCGAGCCGGTCAAGAGCGATGACCCAAACAAGCTGATCAAGGCTTTCATGCTCGCTACAAAAGACGCATTAACCACATCGTCTAACTTCACGGGTCAAACCGAAGTAAACATGGGCTCGAGCATCTCGCCGAACAACAAAGCCGTTCTTGATTACTGCAAGAGAGTTTTCATGTACGCTCTTGAGGATCTCGCTACCATTATTCAAGAAATGGGTGAAGATCTTAACCAGATCGGGAGCAAAATCGACCAGCTCAAACAATGGTTAATCGGTGTTTACAATTACCAAACTGATTGTCTTGACGATATCGAAGAAGATGATTTAAGAAAGACGATTGGTGAGGGCATTGCAAACTCCAAGATTCTCACTACCAACGCTATTGACATCTTCCACAATGTCGTTAGCGCCATGGCCAATCTTAACAACAAGGTTGACGACTTCAAGAACATGACAGGCGGAATCCCCACTCCCGACAACAAAGGAGCCCCTCCTGTTGTTGATGAATCTCCCGTGGCCGACCCTGATGGTCCTGCTCGTCGTCTTCTTGAAGACATTGACGAGACTGGAATCCCAACATGGGTTACAGGTGCTGACAGGAAGCTCATGGCTAGGGCTAGACGTGGCCGTAGAGGCGGCCGCAGAGGCGGTAGGATCAGAGCGACCTTTGTGGTGGCTAAGGACGGAAGCGGACAGTTTAAGACGGTTCAACAAGCCGTTGATGCTTGTCCTGAGAATAACCCAGGCCGATGCATCATCTACATCAAGGCTGGTATCTACAGAGAGCAAGTAATCATCCCTAAGAAGAAGAACAACATCTTCATGTTTGGAGATGGTGCAAGAAAGACAGTCATTTCTTACAACAGAAGTGTTGCTCTCAGCCGTGGAACCACCACATCCCTTAGTGCCACAGTTCGTAAGTCTCATCAAACCCGAATTCACTAGTTAGGTTACACATATATATTTTTCTCTACATAATTCATGTTTTCGATATACATTGTGCAGAGGTTGAATCGGAAGGATTCATGGCGAAATGGATGGGATTCAAGAACACCGCCGGTCCAATGGGACACCAAGCCGCGGCTATCCGAGTGAACGGAGACCGGGCCGTGATCTTCAACTGCAGATTCGACGGTTACCAAGACACCTTGTACGTGAACAACGGTCGTCAGTTCTACAGAAACTGTGTCGTCTCGGGAACAGTCGACTTCATCTTCGGCAAATCCGCAACCGTGATCCAAAACACACTAATTGTTGTCCGTAAAGGAAGCAAGGGACAATACAACACGGTCACAGCCGATGGAAACGAACTCGGCTTAGGGATGAAAATTGGTATCGTCCTCCAAAACTGCCGCATCGTTCCCGACAGGAAACTAACGCCAGAGAGATTTGCCGTGGCGACATACTTGGGAAGGCCGTGGAAGAAATTCTCGACCACCGTGATAATGAGCACCGAGATGGGAGATTTGATTAGACCAGAAGGTTGGAGGATTTGGGATGGGGAAAACAACCACATGTCATGTAGGTACGTTGAGTACAACAACCGTGGACCAGGAGCATTCACTAACAGAAGAGTTAACTGGGCTAAGGTCGCTAGGTCTGCAGGTGAGGTCAATGGCTTCACTGTTGCTAACTGGTTAGGTCCTATTTATTGGATTCAACAAGCCAATGTTCCTGTCACAATTGGTTTATAAAGTGTATAAATAAAATAAAATAAAATCAAGGGTTTTGTGCAAATTTTTTTTTTTCAAACTCGCTATTTTATACAACTTAATACAAATTAATCATATGAAGTTAAAAATAATACGCTTTCGCTACGGCCAAATTTATAAAATTTTGATAAATAATATGTCAAATCGAATCCCTCGCGAAGAGAAGTTCAACTCAACTTTTACAATTTTAAAAATCTAATATATGTAACCGTGAATACGAGAATTAACAGTCGTTACCAATTGGTCCCGAAATTATAAGATTTGTTTTTCGTTTGTCTCACTTTCACTTATGAAAGATGAGGGGAAAAAATTAAAATTGATGTTGTTTGATTTTTATTTCTATTTTTATGTTTTGGAATATGAAATTTATCAGCTGTGTTGTACCTTTGTTTAATAATCGTTTTAAATTATATAATTTATCTAATTTGTTTTCTATTGTTGTTAATTCTCTAATTTGTTGAATTACTATGGACATGCATACGATATATATATATAGTAATGACTATTTTAGGGAAGTTAATATATGGAGAAGGAAATGACGAAAATACCCTTATTAAGATTTGGAACTGCAAATTTACCAAAACCCTCGTTTTATCTTCTCTCGACGGCGACGAGAGAAACCGCCGTCACGAGCTCCGGCAAAAGTTCTTTCAGCTTCACCGTTCGGTCTGAAACTTAACCAGACAGAATTCGAAAACTTGTGCTAAAAAACATGAGGAGGTTGATTCGGGCAAATTTCTTGAGCAATCTGATTCGATATTGCTCTAGAGGTACGCATTCAGACGATTGTAGCCTACGGTCGTCGAAGATGATTCGTCTGTACACCACCGGTACGTTTATATGATCTGGATCACTTAGTATCAATCCGTTTAATAGGCTTGTTAGTTTAGTATTTGATTGGATTGGGATGTGTAATGGCAGGAATGGAACCTCAGTTGTCTCCAGATCTTATTAAGATAATGGATCAGAGGCTATCGGCGATAGAGCACCGAAATGCTCTTCTTCAGAAGCTTATCAACCAGGTTAACCAAAGATTAAGCTCATTCTTGTATTAAGCTTTCCTTTTGGTAGTTGATTTTTGACATGATCGATAAACTGTGTTTTCCGTTGTTCGAAGACAGCCTGAGTACTCACCAGAAGAGTTTTCAAGAGCTAATAAGGAACTTCGGAAGCTGAGAGATTCAATGTTTCTCATCAATGATTTGAGGGCCAAACAAAAGGTAGTGAATTTGCTTTTACAGTCTTTATCTGTTCCAAAGATCATCATTGATTAGGTTTAATTTCTTTTGGCAGGAGATTGATGGACTGAAATCTCTGGTGTCGGAAAGTTCGGATGATAGGGACATGCTTGATATGGCTGTTAGTGAATTAGACGAGGCGGTGGAAGAAGAAAAAAGACTTCAAACTTTGCTGCTTAAGGCTTTGCTTCCTAAAGATGAAGCTGATGAGAGGGATTGCATTTTGGAGGTGAGAGCAGGTACACTTGTGAACTAATGGTTCTTAAACACCGACATTATCCATGAATTTATAGAAGCTGTCTGTAGTTTTTTTCATTTTGACAACTGAATGTTTTGGTTAGGTACTGGTGGTGAAGAGGCTTCTTTGTTTGCCATGGACATTTTCAGAATGTAAGTCCATCCACATACTGCAGGTAGAAGCAAGTATACTTCTTTGTACTTGAACTTTAATTATTTTTTATCCGGTTTTGGAATATCGATAGGTACGAAAGGTATTCACAGAAGAAAGGTTGGAAGTTTGATATTGTAGACATCACCGAGTCAGATATGAAAGGATATAAAGTAAGTAACTTCTTCCCTTACTTATATGAATATTAGTATTCCAATATTGCTCTGTTCTACTGAAGCTAAGATCTTGAATGTAATTTCCAGGAAGCCAGTGCTGCAATTTGTGGAGCCAGTGTCTACGGAAAACTAAAGTTCGAGAGTGGAATTCACAGGGTTCAGGTATGTTATAATATATGAATCACATTCTGATTTTCTTGACTAGTCATACAATATCAAATAATCACACTTGAACATCTTTGCACAGCGTATTCCTATCACAGAGAAATCTGGACGAATTCACACCAGCGCTATATCTGTTGCCATCCTTCCCCAGGCTGATGAGGTACCAACCAAAGTTTCTCCAATCTTATTTTTGATAATTTTATCTTACAAACGTACATTTTCTTCTATTATCTTTCTTATGGGTTAATCTTACGAACGTATATACTTTTTGATCATCTGTCTTACTGGTGGCTACTTACAGGTAGATGTTCAGCTAAGGAATGAAGATTTGAGGATTGATACTTATAGGTCTGGTGGCTCAGGCGGTCAACACGCCAACACAACAAACAGCGCAGTCCGAATAATCCATCTTCCAACGGGGATGATGGTCTCAATCCAAGATGAAAGGTCACAACATATGGTACTGAACATTTGTTTCACCCACTACGCTTTACTCCCTTAATCTTACACATCCTACTGAAAATTTTATTATCTTTGTAACAGAACAGAGCCAAAGCACTTAAAGTACTCTGTGCAAGGCTTTATGAAATCGAAAGGTTGAGAATACAGAGTAGTCGATCAAAGCTACGGTCAGATCAGGTACATATCAAATCAACAATATTTTTCTTATGTTTTCAGTCAATCTTACATAATTTTATTTTCTAGCTTATCAATGTCTAAATCCCATGAACAGATTGGCAGCGGAGACCGATCTGGACGAATCCGTACATATAATTTTCCACAAGGGCGAGTGACGGATCACCGTGTGGGAATCACTCTCCATGCCATTGAAGATATGATGCAAGGAGAGATTCTGGACTCATTCATTGATGCCCTCCTCTTACGCCAAGAAATGGACGCCATTGCTTCTTTCAGCTCCACGTCATGAATGACAGAGAGGTAGACCAAACCCAAAAACCCTTAGCTTGTCGTCAGCTGTCAAAAACGTTAGCAGTAGTAATAAAAATCCATTGAAATGAAAGGAGAGAAAGAAATAGAGAGACAGAGAGAGAAAAGAGGGAGCCAGGGAAGAGGCAGTGCATGGGTAGAGACAAAACAGAGTCGTTTAATGTTTTAGTAAACTCAATCCATGCTCTGCTTGTTCCCTGTCTCTCTCTATGATTACCACTTCTTTCATTGCAATACCAATCTAACCTTTGAAATTGGGCCGTTCCTTGAGTTTCTTTGTGTTTGTGTTATGTCTTAGGGTTTAAATAGATTTTGGAATCGTGTTTCTGTACGCCTTTTGTGATGTACTACACCAGAATTCACCAGAAATATTTGTACTCCCTTGTTTTGCAAAGGCGTACAATCGTTAATTAATCCCATTCTATTGCTAACCCTCTACTTTACTTGGAGGGTTCTGGTTTGTACGACTTTGTGTGTTTTTTTATTGGTAAATCGGAAGGTAGAGAAATAATGAAGCTACCACGTGGTAGGACCCAAAGCACAACGCAAGTACACTTTTTTCTTGTTTTTTGTTTTTGTTTTTTTTGCTTGATGGTTATATTAGTACACACAATTCTCTTTCCAGTACCGGTACTACACAGCCCCTCGGAATTTGTTTGGTTTACTTTGAAACAAAAACTTTGGATTGGTTCAGTTTTGGTTGAAAAATTTGATAAAATAATCAAGTAATAAGAACATCGAAATCAGAGAGATTAAGTAATAAGAACATCGAAATCAGAGAGATCCCATTCTGCAATTGCGTCATCTTCTTTGTAAATCTCCGTACCAACATCCACAGATGTCCAAATCCTCCTCGCCGGAATCGTACCGGGATCCTACAACATAACCAAATCAAAACCCAAACCGGAATATTCTTTTTCTGAAACAACAGAAAAACCAACCGGTTAATCAATCAATCACCTGGTAGAAGTAAAGCCTACTGGACAAGCCACCAACATCAAGGTCCCAAGTTCTCGGGTCACCCACCCAACCATCACCCAACCGGGTCGGATACCCATATTCACCCCAAACCGGGTGAGGCAAAAGCTGAAGAATCTCCTGAGCTTGTGGGTTACTAAAAGCATCACAAGTCCCCACCGGAAGCTCTAGATGCTCGCCGTTTCCCGGGGCACAATAAACATGGTAAGCCTCGTAAGGAAAACTCAGTGTGTCCGTACGGTGGACTTTGGTTCCGTTTCGAAACGTGTGGTACGGTGGACAGTTGTGGAGACTCTTTGGGTTGCACCAAAGTGCAGTTTCAGGGTTTATGATCATCTCCGAGTAACGAGTTACGTCGGTGGTTACGTCACCGTCGCAGGGCTCGCCGTTGTTCTTCCAGCAGCTTCCGATGTCGAGAAGATAGAATTGACTCTTAGGTCCTCCTCCTTGTTTTATGTTTAGTGTCAGTCTCACTTTGAAGTTTGGTGACTCCGGAAGCTAAAACAAAAACACAACACATTTCAAATTTTCAATACTGGGCCTTCAGTATTTCATCACAAAGATCATTTCTTTTTGAGAAATTTTAGACAAATACTAATTCTTTGTTTGTAGATTAGAGATTGTTTCTAGACAAGAAAAAAAAAACTTATCAAAAAGGTTTAAACTAAAGTTAGTGTTACTTACTGTTTTGAGCATTCCTCTAGTGTCATAATGGTATCCACCAGAGAATCCTTTAGTGGCATCAGCTCTAAGGTAAAGCATAAGCCATGGGTACTTAGCTGAAGTCTTAAGCTTATGTTTAAATACCCAACCACCAACACCAACTCTCTTCTCCCACACAACCTCGTAATAACTTATCCCATCCAACCCATTTCCCAATTCTGCATCCAAATCGTACGTACCATTGAACCATCCCTTCATGGTCTGACCATCTCTCAGAAGCTCGGTCTTTCCGTGGTTCAGCGTCGGTTGGTTCATACAACCGCTGCCGAAACAGGGGAATAATCCGGGTTGATTGAAAGGTGGAATCTTTTTGCCGTTTTTAGGGCAAAGACCAGATTTTGTGTCGTAGTTTCCGTTTTTGAGCATTACCATCCAGAAACTCCACGGGTTTGGTTTGTCTGAGACTTGACAGAGAGATCCTAGATAGAGTTCTTTCTCGACCGCGTAAAGGTCAGGGTTATGCAATGCTGATTCTGATATGATTCCTGGTTTAGGCTTCCCTATCCCTAGCTCGTTATCCGAGTCAGATACCTTGTGCACCAAGGAAGAACCACCTGTCAAAAATCATAGTTAGAAACAGAGAAAACAGGGAAGGAAGAAGAAGAAGAAAAAGAAGCTTACTTGTTGTGTTGTTTGACTGGCTTTTTATGTATGCTTTAATGTATTTAGATGAAACATCGAAGCAATCAGCGGCTCGAGGACTACCCATGTGAGGAGCTTCGAAGCCAACCTCATTACAAAAGTTCCAAGCTTCAAACGCCACTCTGAGACCGTCTCTCCTCATCCCAGGATCTCCAACCGCTGATCCATCGTCTCCATGAACTAGGAGAAGCAAGTTTATCACGGTCAGGATTGGAGCCAATTGCTTCATTTGTTTTTTTTTTTCTCTGTTTCTGCATTTAGTTTCCTTGTTTTTTTTTTGGTTAATCTATTTAAGCTTTTTTGTGTGGACTGTAGTGGGAGTTGGTAATGATTCACTCTGTATGTAATAAATGCTTCCAAAAGTCAAAGAAGCTGTTACTCTTCTTAGTGGCGATTATTGAGGGAGTAACCATGACTTGCTCTTTTCGATCTAGATCAAAGCAGTACATGGATCATAATACATTCTAAATATGGATTTGCGTTCAGAGTGATTATATCTTAAACCAGCTGAAAACGAATCCTAAAATGTTTAGATGTAACAATACCTAGACTGAGACACAGGACTATAATCATAAAAACTATAGGAGGGTTAAACCAAGGTGAAACCCTGATGGAGATTAAACCGAAAATAACTGGTGTTTTGATTTGTAAATGCAACAATGGTATGATTGCACTCTAGAGAGCAACAAAACATGTTACAGTTTCAAACTTTTTCTTCTCAATTCAAAACACAAAAGTTGTGTGTCACATTAGTGCATTCTGTTATGTCATTAGGCCCATGGGCTAGTGGTTTTGTCAGAGGGATATATAAAAGTTTGTACTTTGTAGGTTGGGTTTCAAAATTCAAAATCCATAGATTCGGGTTCTCGGGCCGGGTCAAAATTAGGCGTGTGATTTACGCCAGGAATTTTTTTAGTTTCAAACATGTAGGGTAAGGATTTGGGTCTATTTGACACGTGATACGATTCTCCAAAAGGTTTTAGTGGGAATCGAACCGCTTAACTTTTATTTCTTCCCCGGAAAAAGGTCCACATCTACTGAAAAAATGTCAATTTTTAGTTGGACTGTGATAAAGATAATCAAGTGAATTAGTGAATCCAATAATTAGTGTCATTCAAAGATATTTAAAATTACTAATAGAAGTTAAATATTTCTGTGCCAAAAAAAAAAAAAAATTAAATTACAAAAAAAAGCAAGTCCAAACTTCATCGAAAAATCTGATTAGCGCCTCACACGATTTATTAATGTGTAGTCACTCTCGCATCAATGTTTGGAATAATATTGCAAGTAGTAGTTTGTTTTTCTTAGAAAAGTAGTATTTGATAACTTATTCCCTAAGTAGTAATTCTTGCCAGAAAAGTATTGACAAAAGATATACGTGGGTTGGTGATAAATATTGAAGGATCATTTATGTCAGGAATGACGTCAGGATCGTTATTGGTTAAATAAAGACTTTAGATAAGATTCATTGATTCTGAAAAAAGCACATAGAAGAAGTAATGCGAGACCATTCCTTCCCTGCCTCCCTGCCTCCCTGGAAGCAAGAAAGGTCCCTTTCTCAGTAGTTTTGACTTTTCTTTTATTTCCTTTTGAATCGATAATTCAATTTTCTTGACTTGTTTCTTGCTCGTAAAGTAATAACTCAGCTTCACGTGGTTCCAACCTAGAATGGTTGTGCAAAGATATGAATATGATCTGATCATAATAATATAATTCTATAATGCTTAACTACAAAATAAACTAATGACATTACGTTTATGGGATTTCGATTTTTGTTTTGTTTAACGCAAAAGCGCATATGCTTTTACATCCGTTGGGAAAACACAATTATGATAACAAAGATTACTATTGAGAAATGGGATTTTGCACTTGTCAATTTGTCCATCCATAGTCACAGCTAATGCCAACGAGAAAGTCAACTAAAGCGATGGAAGAAAATCATCATAATATTCATTCAGCGTTTTTGGTTTTTGATGTGTAAATATATTTTTATATATGTACACAGAAACACGCATATACAAAATTCGAGTTTTTTTTTATATGAAACGATGATTATGACATATGGAGGCTGCTAATAACATAGCTAACTAGCTTTAAGAGATCAAAATTTATTGTATAAATGAATGATTCACGAGATTATACAAATTATGTGGTCCTTCCGTATCGAAACCTTATATTAAAATAATAGAGTTGTAGTTGAACAAAACAGCTAGACTACTCGTTAATCGCTGTGATCAATTCGTTCTTTATATTTTGTTTATGCTATAATTAATCATCTTGGTCAGCATTAGACAACAAAAACTATCTTTCTTCTTACCTATTATATTTTATTACATTCATAAAAGGTATAATCACAAGGCCATATTTATTACTACGCCAATTGTAGTATGGTCCAATTTAACTATAAGAAAAAAGACTATATTTTTTCACAAAATTTACTAGTAATATTAATATCCTGACATCCATTAACTCTTTCTCTTGAACACATCGCGGCTTGTTCGTCAAGAAATAAACAGAGTATATATAGAACTCACATGAGTCCTTCCAAACTTCACTTACCATTATATAAAAATATTAGTACATATATTTAAGCAGAGAGAGAGAGAGAGAGAGATCTCTTCACATTTTTCAACTGCTGTTTATACGGCAGACACCAAGAAGCCGCTAAACCCTAATCACTTTCTTCTTGTTGCTTTTCGAGGTATATATATATTTTATATTCTCTGCTTTAATTATCTTTCTACTGGACAACTCTGTACTTTATGCTCTTGTCTGGGCCGTAGATTCGGTTATTCCTTATTGTAAACGACGGATCTTGCTTCAGGTTTCGTTATTTTTTCACATGTTCTTGAAAATAACAAAGCAGATCTTTAGGGTGT